TCACCTACCTGAACGGAATGTACTTCACCTGAGGTTGCAGCATAAGAGAGTGCCACCAGGTCAGCGCTCCAGTGGAAATCACTAGGGGGCAGCTGGAGTTCTTTGCAAACAGATAACTGCAAGACAAACGCAAACAGAAAAAAAAAACTTCACCTTCAACCCAGTTTGTTTATTCTGACCTCTTTGTTTCTTCTGTATATTTCATATGAATTCATGGCTGGAATAGTATTTTACAATATCCTTTCTTTTCACAGCTCTTTTTGATCAGGTACAACAGAGAATCTTAAGAGACACAAAGGCAGGAATACACAAATGCTAAAATGGACTTCTGTATGAACTAGTCTGTGTGCTCATACTAGGTTAGCAGTGGCTCTCAACCTTCCTAACGCTGCGACCCTTTAACACAGCTCCTCATGCTGTGGTGATCCCTATCATAAAATTATTTCATTGCTACTTCATAACTGCAATTTTGTTACTGTTAAAAATTGTAATGTAAATAGCTGATAAGCAGGATATCAGATATGTGAGCCCTGTGGGGATGCAAGCCACAAGTTGAGAACCACTGTGTTAGGAGAAGTGACCAGGTATCCTGCAAAATTTTCCCAGCTGAGGTATAATTTATTTGACATGTAAAATTATTATGGCCAAAGAGAAATGATACCACGTTCCCTTGAAACTATTTCTTAGGCTTGCAGCTGAACATTCGACTCGCTCTGCTAACTCAATACATTAAGAATTTGCCCTCACTGCTACTTCTAACCATACACATCCTTTCTAATCATCTGAGGGAGGACAGCAAGTCTGGAGACACCAAGCGTTAGGGAGGAAGGAGCCCTGAGCTCCAATGGAACAATGACCTACAAGGTAGTGACAGTAGCTGGAAGACGTGCTTGAAAAGAGGCTGCTGAGAGAATATTACAGACTTCATTGATGGTCCCACTGTTAGGAGCTGTCAGCTCAAGGTTAACCTACAAAGCGCACACCCGACTCCAACTTAGGAAAAAGCATGCTCAGTTCTTAGTATGTGGGCAGCTTAGGCAAACTGCCCAGCACTGTGGTCCCTGAACATTCTCAAAGCTTCTAATTTTATTAAGTGCAAATAATATAGATTTTGCTTTAAAACTGAATGGTTGAAAGGATAAGGAAGACAGAAGGGCTCTCTGTGCAGGGAAGGAACCTGTTGGTTGAGTCTGGTCCCCTCATCAATGCTGGGGATTCTTAAGACTGGCTGAGGATTGGGGCTGCAAGGTCGATATTTATTCTACATGGAAGGGCAACATTTTAATTCCTTCCCTATACCTTAAGCCATTCCTATCCAAAGTTGATGTTAGCTAATGGCTGGCCCCACTTCCTCCCACCTGCTAATCATTTTGGAGTCTGAAGCAGGAAGAGACAACAAGAGCTTGGAGGGAGAACATATTGTGCTGATTTTCCAGGATTATCTTTTCTTTCTTTCTTTTTTTTTTTTCTTTTGAGACAGGGTCTATATATATATATATATATAGCCCTAGGAGTCCTGAAACTCAATATGTAGACCAGGCTGGCCTTGAACTCATAAAGATCCACCTGACCTGTCTCTGCCTCTCGAGTCTGGAACTAAAGGCATGCACCACCACATTGGGCTGTTTTGTTTAATTTTTTAAAATTTATTTTATATACATGAGTGTTTTGCTTACACATGTGTATGTTCACCACAGATATGTCTGGTGCCTATAGAGGCCAGAAGAAGGCATTGAATACCTTTGGAACTAGACTTATAAATATTTGTGAGCCACCAGGTGGCTGCTGAGAACTGAACTAGGGTTCTCTGGAAGAGCAACAAGTAGTCTAAACCACTGAGCATCTCTACAACCCTTTCCAGGGTCTTTAGAGGCAAAGAGGAGAGTTACCCCGGGAGAGAGATGGATGGTCAGAGTAACTCACGGGATAGGAATCTACATTCTCAGTGTGTGAGAATATGGGCACGCACATACACACACCACTCCCCCCCCCTCTCATGAGGCTTCCAAGGCTGAAAGTATTCCCTCACACATGATGAAGGCTCTGAAACCCTGTTGGACTTTCATTAAGATGCATTAAGTGCGGTACAAGACAAGGTGCAGGATGCTGTGGTGGGTGGATGGAGCTGGTCCTCCAGAAAAACCTCAACTGCAAGAAGGATAAGGCTGATCACATCAGGGCAGCTTGCAGATCCGAGAGAACACAGTGTGGAAAACCAACTACAGAGAGCAGGAGGGAAAAGGACACACGATCCAGAGCCCATGAAGGCAGTAACATCTCAAGCTCATGCTCATTTATTTTGGCTACAGTGAATCTTTTGAGAAGGAAGAAACTAAAGACATCAAGAAAAGTAAATTATTAAAAGAGGAGTTTTGTTTTGTTTTCCTCCAACAAACAAACTATAAATTTACATTCATTATTTCATATCATGAATTCCTAATGCTTACACAGACTGACCAGCATCCCTCATGAACTTTAAAGAATAAAGGCAAAAATAAAGAACCAGTTGGGACCCCTTTCCCCCACTTGTTATCTAAAGAGCCGTTACCTTAGTGACAGGTGACACAGTAATCTTCCAAACGAGGAGTTTCTCTTTGCACACCAGGCAAGCCCACCCACCTTCATCTATGTGGACAGATAGCTGGTCGTCAGCTGAGGGAAAATAAGACATACAATTAATCTCACACGGAGACTATGAGGAGTTGTCCGGTCTCCTCATATCAATATCTTTTCTCCCATAGCTGTCATCAAAACAGGTCACGGAAGCACACAAACATTAACTCAGGGGCTGGCGAGATGTCTCAGTGGTTCAAGGGACTTACTGCTCAAGCAGAGGACCTGGGTGTGGTTACCAGCACCCACTCGGCAACACATAACCACCTATACAGAACTCCAGGATCTGATTCACCCTTCTGACACCCACAGGCTCATGCATACACATGGTGCACATATATACTTAGGCACACACACATAAAATTATCATAAATACTAATAACATAAAATTAACTTTAAAAAGCAAGTCACATAACAATTTCCAAGTATTTAGGAATGATCCATATCTAAAACGAGATTTATTTAGCTTTAATAATCACCTTTAGAAACATATCCAAAGGCAAAAACTATTTGGGTTTATGTTTAATACACTTTCATTTTTGTTATAAAGACAATCTTAGCTAGGCATGGTGGCAAATGCCTTTAATTCCAGCACTCAGGAAGCAGAGACAGATGGATCTCTGAGTCTGAGGCCAGTCTGATCTACCTCTATCCCACCCTACCCTAAAAAATCAAAAACAATTTAACTTCTGCAAGAATTACTTATAATTTGATAAAGTAAACAATAACCCTCCCATTCATTAACTACTATTTTCAAAGAAAAAACCCCACATTCCTTCAAAAGAATATGATTTTCAACTAGAGCTCCTTAAAGATACAGTAAATCATTTCATCGTAAGGAAACTCAAAGAGCATTGTTTATTAAGGGAAAACTAAGTCAACGTACTCCTATTTCTAAGCACTGGTGGTAAGCTTCCACAAATGTGTTCACAGTCTTGAGAATCTTAATTGATTTGAGCTTTGCTCTTTGCGTATAGACAGGGCAGCGGTGCAAAACACACAGCACTGGAAATGAACATGCTAAAACGTGGAATCACACTCAAGCTATGCACAGCTTTCTGCTCGACTGGAGCACCCCGCTTGACAGAGTTCTCAGCCCTCAAGCCTTGAAGGTCTGACCTCACATCAGATGTGGTTATTTTATAACGAAGGACAGTTCTTTAAGTCTGCACCTAATTGCTGGGCGGTGGCAATGCACGCCTTTAATCCCAGCACTCAGGAGGCAGAGACAGGTGGATCTCTGTGAGTTCAAGGCCAGCCTGGTCTACAGAGTGAGATCCAGGACAGGCTCCAAAACTACACAGAGAAACCCTGTCTCGAAAAACCAACCAACCAACAAACAAATGAATGAATGAAAATCAGTGAGTGCTGAGATGCACTAACATGTGACCTCCCTTCCACACTTGTCAGGATTTCAGTCACAACTGCAGTTGGGCAAACATTGCTTTGGAAAACTGCAGGTCCAGAGCTGGCCTGTAATAAAGTGACCTGGGTAGGGGTGAAGGCCTCTTGTCTGCACTTCCCTGTCACCCCCCCTCACTCTCACTGCTGCCTCATCCTGTGTCACTGGTGCCCCCAACTCCTGCGCCATCTTTACACCAGCAGTCTTTAAAGGGCACCGCATACAAGCCCGTGAGCTTGTCACATGAACTTGGGACACCACCCAGCACGCAGAACTGGAGGCAGAACTTGACCTTAAAACATTATTTCACCCAGCAGTGCAAGTTACTGCATTTTGGATTGTTTTAAAGCTAAATTTCATATATCCAATCAACTCAAAAGTTGGGGATATCCAAAGAGGACTGAAATTTACACACATAGTACTTTGACTCACTAATGACTTGATATGATATTAGAATAATTTACTCAGCTTCACAAACCTATGTCTCAATGATAGTGAAAATCAACAGGCTGCCTACTTCTTTGGCAGATGCCAAAATGTCATTGCATTCAACCTGGTTATTGATTGATATCAGGGGCAAATGAAAAGATGACACTTGGGCTGGAGGGATGGCTCGGTGGTTGGGAGCACTGACTGCTCTTCCAGAGGACCGGAGTTCAATTCCCAGCATCCACATGGCAGCTCAAAGCTGTCTGTGATTCCAGTTCCAGGACACCTGACACCCATGGCAGAAACACCAACGCACATAAAATAAAAATAAGTTAAGATAAATAATAAATAAATAAATAAATTTAAAAAGAAAGAAGAAAAGAAAAGATGACACCTACCCTCAGCCAGCGTCAGAGCTTCCATGATTTTAACAGGGAGAGACGATCCAAACATTCTCACATCGTAGTTCACAGACTCTGATATGGAATGGTGAGGAAATATCCGTGTGGGTGTTCCTCTAAAGCAAAGAGACCATGTAATATTACTTGTAATCTGAAATTTCCCACTATCTTAGCCTTTATGAATCTACACATAAGAGATCTCTGATGAGGTATAACGGTGAAAGATACTAGCTTGTGTGCACTATGTAATTAACCACATTTTTTTCAACAGAACTTAGGGAAACCTGGTGTCTTAGTTTGCTTTCCATTGATGTGATACAGACCATGACCAAAAACAACTTGGGGAGGAGTTTATTTCATCTTATACTTCCAGGTTAACAGTCCATCACCAAGAGAAGTCAGGGCTGTAACTAACACAGGGCAGGAACCTGGAGGCAGGAACTGAAGCAGGAAAAATGGACAAATGCTGCTTACTGCATTTTGCTTTCTTATCTGCTCCAGGGCCACCTGCCTAGGGATGACTCTACCCAGAGTGGGCTGGACCCTTCTACATCAAGAAAAAAAACCCATAGGCATTTTCTTAATTGAGCTCCCCTCTTCTCAGATGATTCTAGTTTTTGTTGACAAAAAAATAAGCAACATGCCTGGCTTTTGACCATAAGCTCAGTAATTAGGAGCATATGTCTACTTCTAAGATCAGTACTGTTAAGAACTCTTTTTAAAAGATGAAAGTCAAAGCCAGGCATGGAGAGGAGGCAGAGGCAGACAGATCTCTGTGATGTTGATTTATAAATTTCTAACCATTAAGTTTCAATCAGACTCAGTATTTCTTGTTTTCATGCAGAAGAAATTCACCTAAAATTTATTTTACTTTAATATTTTTTTTTAATTTTTATTTTATGTGTACTGGTGTTTTGCCTGTGTGACAGTGTTGGAGCCCCTGGAACTGGAGTTACAAACAGTTGTGAGTTGCCATGTGGGTGCTGGAAATTGAACCTGGGTCCTCTGGAAGAGTAGTCAGTGCTCTTAACCGCTGAGCCATCTCTCCAGCCCCCCACTTATTTTACTTTTGATTGTGTGTATTCATACACCTAAGCGCAGGTGTCTTGAAGCCAGAGGCATTGGAATCCTTGGAGCTGGAGTTATAGGATGGAAAGTGAGCTCAGATCCTCTTGAAGAGCAGCAGGTGCTCTTAACCTCAGAACCATCTTTCCATCCCAGAAATTCACTTTTGAAAGAGGAATAGAATAAATTCCTCTGGAATAAAGGCTACTTGATTCTGGATTTTTGTATTATGAGGAAGAGGGTAACAATTCTACTAGACATGTGGATTGGGCACAACACCAACAGTTTTAGTAAATCAATCAATCTCAATCTCTCTCTCTCTCTCTCTCTCTCTCTCTCTCTCTCTCTCTCTCTCTCTGTGTGTGTGTGTGTGTGTGTGTGAAAGTGTTCTATGTAACCTAGTTACAGTGTCACATTTTGTGGCCCAAAGTCCTTTAACTGCCAATCAGTACATAGTAATGACAGTTGTCAGGCACTGAAAAACCATTTTGCCAGGATTTGTAGGCTTTCATCATGAGTCAGATCTGTATGGACAACTGTATATTGATTCTTATGACTTTGGTAAGGATGCTGAGATCCTGACATAAAGATGGAACTGTTAAATGAAATTATGATAGCACTAGCTTGCCATAATTTAATTGAAAAGTGGAGAGAGAGGACTGAGCAAAAGCCAGCCTTGGGTACATAGCATGACCTGTTTCAAAGTGGGCAGAACAGTTCTGAGCTGCAGTTCTACACTAGATCACCAAAAGATTACATCAAACCAAAATTAATCACTCGTGACAAATGTCACAGCGACAAATCACCACTTTAAACAAACAGCTCCCTGAAACTGACCTGATTTCCTTTCCTGTCTGTGTCACTATAATAAAGAAACCACTTTTGTTTTAATCTTTGCAATATCTGAAGTATGTTCCTGTCTTACAAAAGCATTGCTTTGATACTCACAAGGTGCTTCCATTCTTTTCTGTAGCGCGAAGACTGAGTGAATTCATGAGTTAATGAAAAGTTAAGCCAAGGGAGTGCAGACGGACGGCCACCGTGGAAGGGAGGCAATATGCAAGAGTGACTACTTTCCAACTGGGCGGCAGCTTTCCCCCGCGGCCCGGTTCACCTGCCCGCTTTGGAGCTGAGCCTGCTGGTCGCCGGACCCCCACTTACCTGGAGCTCACCGAGCTGCGCCGGCCCACCGGAGAGAACAGCACGGGCGAGCTAACTGCAGACCCGAGAGACAGACCCCTTCTGCTCGCCCTAGGCGTGGACGCCGGCCCGATTCCGACTAGCGGACCCCTTCGGGTCCCCGGCCCCGGGGTCCGCGGAGAGGAGACGGATGGAAACATGTCTTCGGGGAACGTAGAGAAAGCTCCACTCGTGAGAGGAAAAAAAAGGGAACCTCGCGCGCCGGGAGCTTGAACACTAAAGGGGCGGGATGGCGCCTACTGATGACGTTGTGGGGCGGGACGCTTGGCGATGATGTACAACTAGGGAAGGGAAGGCGCGGGGCGATGATGGCAAAGGTTGGTGCCGAGCTGCAAGGCGGGGTCGGAACTGGAAAGACGTGTTGATGTCACATCCAGTACCGGAGGCAAGAGATCTGGAGTCCGAAGCACTTGGCTCGTGGTGTGGCTTGGACACGGCCGTCACCTGGAGCGGTTCGGAGTCCAGAGCCCCCGGGGACATAGAGCGAGAGAAGAAGCCCCGTTCTCCAGTGCACAGGCTGGAGCTGACCCTCCGCGGGAGCGCGGACTGGGGAAGGAGGCGTCCGCGGGCGGAGCTGGAGAAGTCACCGTGCTAGTTAGTGTCTCGGTGTGCGGTGACGATTCTGTAGCGCGCAGTTTCCCTCAAGCACTCAGTAGAGCTTTTCCCACCCCAAGATCGGTCGCAGGCTTGGCCTTCGTCCTAATGTCCGGGCTTCCCCCTGGACCCCTGCTCTTGCTTCCCAGTCGCATTTTGCAGTTTGATGGGCTTGGCCTACTGCCCGAGGCACGAAGAGGGCTGTTTCGTTCCGCCCCTCTCCCCTCGTCTCCAGAGACTCTCATTTCCCCCACCCCTGAAGTTCCAGAGCCTTGTAGAAGTCCTATGGGCAGGCATGCACACAGCTCTACGTTAGTCTCCTGTGTCTGTTTTGGAGGATCGCGGTGCATGTAGGGGGTGTGTCTTCTTTCCCACTCTGCTCCCCACACTCTCAGCCAGTGAACTAACGGAAGCTCGAGGCTGCACTAGAGTTCGTAAAGATCCAGGGCTGATAACCACCCAGGGGTTACTTGCTGAACTCCTGTGACTTAACTTCCGGTGGCCTTTCCCTTTTTCACCGCTTCCCACTTGGGCTCCACAATCTACGAATTAAAGTCTCCGATGCCATTGCGCAAGTTTCTTTCTCCTGGATTGCCTGCCCTTCCTGGCAGGCGTCCACCCGCATCAAATTTAGCGCTGCCATCTCTCGAAACCTTCCTCAGATCAGGGATGACCTTCCTCCTCCCTGCCCGCGTGAACAGATAATATATACTTCTGATCTTCCTAACACCTTTGTGTCCACAGTGGCCTCTTGAATAATTTCGTTTTTTGGTAGTTTTGGTAGCCGAGACAAAGTCTCGTGTAGCCCAAGGTGGCTTTGAATAACTCCTGGTCCTGCAGAGATTACGAGTGTGCCACCACACCTGATCCAAGTAGCTGCTTCTAAATGCCTTTCTTTGGGGGGGGGGGAGCGGTGTTTTGAGACACTGACTCACAAAGATCCACCTGCCTCTGTCTCCCAAGTGCTAGGATTAAAGGGGTGCCCTACTGCAGCCAGCTATTTCTAAATATCTTTGAGGGGGTGACTTTGTTACCTTTGTGTCCACTGTAACAAACACACGGTAGACTTTCACAGCATCTTTGCTGAAATAGGGGGATGGTTAAGTAAACACTGGGCAGTGAATTTGAGGTGGGGACAGAGTGCCAGTTGTTCATATCCCTCCCGAGGTCACATTTGTACTGCTGCCAGTTATCTTGTATCTTTTCCCAGCTGAGAGAAAGTAACAGGTTTATCCTGTTCTGTAGCTGCCTTTGAGTCGTACAAAGCCCCAAACATTTCCCTTTTGTTTCTGTTTTACTGGGAGGGGTGTGAAGCAGTAGGAGGTAGAGGTGGTGGTGTCTGAAGAGGTTTGGTGGGGTCAGCTTTGTTCTTGTACCTGAAGGACCAGGATTGTTCAAAGCCACCTTGGGCTACATGAGACCTTGTCTCAAAAAACAGAAAAACCAAAAAACGTAATTACTGGAGAGACCACTGTGGACGGAAAGTTGTTAAGTGGATCAGAAGGTCAAGTTTGCTAACCACCCCTTGTGTGGAGCTGGAATGACTTGCCAGCACCTGTGAGCTGGAACATTCCCTGTGTGGAGATGCTGGAGTAGTGAGGATTAGGTAATATAGGTATGATTACATTTATGGATAAGAAAAAAAAATGCCCAGAAAGGTAAGCAAGCTGAAGGAAAAATTATACTCTTCAAGAAAATCATTGCTGGGTGTAGTGGCACACACCTTTAATCCCAGCACTTGGGAGGCAAAGGCAGGCGGATCTCTGTGAGTTCAGCCTGGTCTACATAGTGAGTTCTAGGATAGCCAAAGCTACATAGTGAGACTGTGTCTCAAAACAAACAAATAAATATCTCAAACAAACAAATAAAGCGAAATGTGTGGGGGACTGGAGAGATGGCTCGGTGGTTAAGAATATATACTACCTTTGCAGAGCAAGTTCAGTTCCCAGCACCCATACACAAATCACCTGTAACTAACTCCAGAGTCCAATGAAGGCCCTCTTCTGGCTTCTCTGAGTACAACCTTCTCTGAGGTTGGCCCCCTGACCTGCTGTAATGGTTTCCCAGCCACGATGGACTGAATCCCTCAGGAACAGCAAGGGAACGTCTCTCCCTTAAGTTGCCTTTGTCACAGTATTTTGTTAGAGCAATGAGAAACTAAGACAAGTGGCAGATCTTGGGGGAATGGCACCTAAGCGTCTGTCTGCCTCATGGGACCGTCAGCACCACATGTCACGTGTACACACACTGGCAACCAAACGGCCCCCAAACACCTTGCTGGCCACGGTACTTTGCCAGATTTTTGTAAAACTCATTTTTGCCTGCCTCTCCCCTCCTACACTAGAGGGCAGAAACTGCTGAGTCCCTTCTCATGGCCTCAGCACTGGTCTTGTGGCGGGACAGGGAATATTTAGTAATGGAACTGGAGTAGCTGGACAGCATGCTAATAAATAGCAAACAAATGAAGACACTAAGAGTCTCTGATGAGGAAAGAAAGGCATGGAACTTGTAGTCACTACTCTGTGTTTGGCATGTTAGATTAAAACATTCTTTGAGTCTCCATAGCGAATTCTATGAAGAAACTGAATATGTACAAAATTTTAAAAGAAGTGATAGACACGAGGCTGAGGATGTGGATATAACTCAGTGGGAAAATGCTTGGCATGTGTGGGGCCTTTGGCTCAGTCTCAGCACTGTGACAGACAGACAGATTAAATTCGCTATAAATTTTAATCTGATATAAAATGTTAAAGACAAACATATTAAGAAATAAAGTGTGATGACTCAATTCAGTTTTTTAAATACATCCATGGAGCAAAGGGGTTTCCCACCAACCTGGGGGCTGTTTTGTCTTCTGAGAACCCCCCTTCAAGTTGAATAAACGTGGACAGTGGAGATGATGGTCAAAAATGTGCTGTTCACTAACTCAGAGACCACTACACTCATCCAGAGAGCCTGTCTTACTCAAGTACCACACACTGTGACATTCTGTGCTTCCATGAAGAGGTTTCTTCCAGTATGGCCAGAGGCCAGTGGGCACAGCAGGTGGTGTGTCCATTTAACTCTCAGGGTAGTTATGCCTCGGGCTCTACATCACCAGCATAAAAAAGCACATTTTCTTGAGGCAACATCCAACTAATAGCACTAATACCAAAAAAAAAATGTGGCGAATCTGTAAGAATGGAGACACTGTAGGTGACTAAAACTGCAAGCATAGGAGAAAAGACTACTCATCTCCTTGTATAGGGCAGTGCCATGTTAAGGTTCCACGTATTCCATTGGGTAGGGCTTTCAAACTCTTCCAATGTCTTTGAAGACATTTGAAGACTAGGTCTCATGTCCTGGCTGGTCTCACACTCACTATTGTAATGCAGGGTTTGAACTCCCAGGTGCTGGGGTTAGGGGTGTGAGTCGCCATGCTTGGTTTTTTTTCTTTTTAAACCAGAACAATTGTTTCATGACTGACTGTTGCAATCTTCAAGATGAACTGGATGCTGCAACAGCGACCTCTTGGCTTTAGATCGTTCCTTCACAGAATCCCTGTCTGAATGGATGATAAACAATGTTTTGGTGCCTCATCTGCCCGGTCTCAGAAGCGTTGCATCTCACCCTCGGCACTCCAGTTATACCTTCTCTTGCGCTTGGCAGGGTAGCCACATTTACCACAGCAGCAAGACAATATGTATCTTATTGCAACGCTTTCCAAAAAAAAAAAAAAAGACAATGTTCCTTCTGTCATCATGCTTCTGCTGCTGAGGCCAAAGAGCCACCATATTCAAGGCTGAAAATTACTCAGATTCAGCCTTATTAGTGAAAATGTAAAGTATAAAACTATAATTAATATATCTGAGAATTACATATTATTTTAAACAGGTATTGATTTTTTTTTCTCCAAAATACATGCTCCAACAAATGTAAAATTGATTTCCATTCACTTTTGTTGCTAATACCTGGTCATCTGTACCTTGCTTTTCAAAAGGAGTCAGAAAACAAGGAAGTGAATAAAAAAATAGACGTGTTTCTGTTTACAGACTGGGACTTCCTCCTGTGGCAAAACGCATCAGGCTCTCACACACCCTGGTGCTGTGCGCCGCCTGCCCTGACCATCGCAGCCTATCGTGTTCCAGAGCTCCGACCCCTGAGATGTGGGGACAGACACAGCAAGCTTTCCCTCAGTGGCCCCAGGGAGGTGCCTCAGTGACTGGCAACCTGGCTTAAAGTAGTCAGGCCTTTAGTTTAGAATTCCCTTTTTAGAGCTCTCACCTGACGTCACGGCCTGACTCTGGCAGCAAAGGAAGTGAGGCGCTGTGCTAAGCTAAACAAACATTCCGACCCTGCAGCAACGTCAGCGTTTCCCAAGTTTAGAAAGCGACGAAGAAGATCTGAGAGGACAGACACATCTAAACACAGGGTTTTACATTCTCTGTGAAAATAGGCATGTTTCAAATAACTGAAGTACGATCCACAGGTTTCACACAGTCTCTTAAGATCTGTTTTTCTCCGATGGTTTTAAAGTCTCTCAGGAACTACTGTTTTGTTTTTGTTTGTTTTCAGAGAGGGTCTTGCTATGTACATGAGGAAGTCTTCACAATCCTTCTGCTCCAGCTTCCCAATAGCTGGGATTACAGGCTGCGTACTTTGACGGCTCCAGAAACTGATCCATTATACTGACATAAAACTCTGCTTGTTCATTAGTTTTCTGTAAAGCCCATTGGGCTTCAAAAGCAGCTCTTCGTGTGTTCCATGTTCACTGATTTTTCCTTGGTCAAGGACAGCAACAAAATTGGCATTCTTAATGGTGGACAGGCGGTGAGCTATGATCAACACTGTTCTTCCTTCCATCAGCCGGTCGAGGGCCTCCTGTACCAGATGCTCATTTTCAGCATCCAGTGCACTGGAACAGACAAGGTCACACACAAGAGGAAGCAGAGATGTCAGAGTTGCATACACGGCTGCACACACTATTGACACACATGTCACTGAGACACCCTCCAACATGGATACACATATTAGACAACTCTAACATGATTACTGACGTCACAGACATACTCTCACCTGGTTGCTTCATCAAGGAGAAGAATTTTGGGATTCTGAAGAAGGAAGAAGGAAAGTGATGTATTAGCAAGCATAGCTCTGAGCAGTACGAAGGAATGACATGGGCTGGCGAGAAGGCTCAACAAGTAAAGGCACTTAACCACCGAGCCTGACAACCTGAATTTGATTTCCAGATCCCACATCATTAGGGAGAACTGACTCTCACAAGTTGTTCGCTGACCTTCTGTGTATCCCTGACCCCAAGATAAATAAATAAAATAAAAACATTTAAAGTTAACTGTTACAGTTTTAAAAGACAGAAGGAGGGGATGGAGATATGGCTCAGTGGTTAAGTTCTGTTGTTCTTCCAAAGGAGCCGGGTTCATTTCCCAGCACCCATATGGCAGCTTCTGTAACTCCAGCTCCAGAGAATCTGATGCTTTCTACTGGCTTCCTTAGGCACCAGGCACAGGTGTGGTGCACAGACATACACGCTTCCTTTACAGAAGAATGTCTGGCTCCCCACCGAGAGGTTCTTCCTGCTCCTGGCTGGAGTCTGTCTGCCTGAGGCTTCCAATCTTTTTCTTTTTCTTTCTTTCTTTTTTTTTTTTTTTTGGTTTTTTGAGACAGGGTTTCTCTGTGTAGCTTTATGCCTTTCCTGTAACTCACTTGGTAGCCCAGGCTGGCCTCGAACTCACAGAGATCTGCCTGGCTCTGCCTCCTGAGTGCTGGGATTAAAGGCATGCGCCACCACCGCCCAGCTGAGGCTTCCAATCTTTTCCTCAGCAGAACAACTGAGTAAAGTTTAGACATACATATTGGCACCACTCTGACATTTTGTTAATAATCAGTCACTAGTCAATTGATTCTTCTAGATAAATGTTCATATATTAAGCTTTTCCCCATGCTGATACTCCTTTAACACTGGACTCTTGAGAAATTTCCCAAATATGACAAATGCTTGAACAATGAGCCCTCAGTAGAACTCCCAATTTACCTTTTTTACCAGACTGTCAGCCATATATGATATACATGCATACACACACACACACACACACACACACACACACACACACACACACACAAATATATTCCCCGCCCCCCCAAAAAAGTAGAAACTGGTGAAGTCATCAACAGTCAGCTTCCTTACCTTCAGCAGGGCCCTGGCTATGGCGATCCTTTGTTTCTGCCCACCTGACAGAAACAAACGGTAAAGGCAAGCTTAACAAAAGTTCTTAACAAATTTTTGTCTGATGAGACAAGTGACAATTTGAAGATAACTTCTTCCATTTAACCACAACTGATGGGCAGTACAACAGAAGTTTATCTTTTATACATACTGTCTTATTAAATAGAAAAAAATGAGCAATTACCATAGTTAATATATACCGAGGATTTGCTTCACAGAAGACATTTGCTAAGTGCATCTGGCATGTTAATCTATAACAATCGTTCTTGGAGGCAGATCCTATAATTACTTTCATTTTTTTACAGATAAAAACTGAGGCACAACTCAGTTTAGGCATGGTGGCACAAACCTTTAATTCTAGCACTCAGAAGGCAGAGGCAGGTAGACCTCTGCATCTGCATGTTCAAGGCCCGCCTGGTCTACATGGTGAGTTTTGGGCCAGCCAAGGCTGCATAGTGAGATCCTGTCTCAAAAAACAGAACAACAATAAAACAACTACACACCCCACAAGAAGCCTGAGGCACAGTGTGAAACGTCTCACAGCTGGCAACGGAGCAGGCTTACACCTACACTGATATGAGGGTCTTCACTTCCGGCCTTCACTCACACATTCCTCCTAACATGATGGCCAGCACACTGGGGGAATTTCAAACTCCTTGGAAGCAAAAAGAACCAGCAATGCTGGGTGCACATCTCCATCGCTCTGTGTTGGCACACAGCCTTCAGTTCTTCCCTTCCTGTGGTATTCTGCCTCCTTGTCCCACAGCAGTTCCATGTGGACATGAAGCTGGAGGTTACAAATTAGGGAAGCCCCTTTTCTTTTAAGCCCAAATTCCCCTTGAAGCCAGGGAACAGGTGGAGTGTTAAGATGCAGGCTTGAAGCAAGCAATCTGCCTTGCATTTGGCTCTTTCCCTCAAGGACTCCATCTTCCAGCAGCCAGAACTCCCAGAGGCTCACACGTCCTTATGTGGGTTGTCTAATGAAACCCAATTCTACTTCAGGTGCTAACAGTACTCCTTTCAAGTTGACTATGGATGGAACATCTTCATTCATGGTGATGCTAGGTAGCATGTCACTTATTCCAGGTGTTCATCATATTCAACAGATGCTGAGGTGCCATACTCACATGGAGCCATTGCCTGCCTGGCCCTCTGAAGTAGTTAGCTGAGTGCCCAGAGTGGTCTTTGGAGCATCCTGGGGTGGGATCCTGGAGCAGCAGCTAATAGCCTCTTGGAATATTATCCTCAACACCAACTAATATACTAAAAACCTATAATTAAGTGTCTATTCCTTTCAAATTGCAAAGGCATTTGGGTACAGTGGTATCCACCTGTAGTTCTAGCACTTTGGAGGGTAAGACAGGAAGATTAAACATTCTAAGCCAACCTGGACTACACAGTGAAATTGTGCCTCAAAAAAAACCCAAAAAGACTGAAGGACCTGTAGCTTCCTTGGATGCAAACTGAAGCATGAGAATCCTGTTAAGATGTAAGAACATGCAGAAATCATTCCAAGGGAACAGGGGGCTTGCTCTGAAAGATGAACCCCACACTATGATGAATCTCCCGTGATGTCCATCCAAAACACCAAAACCATCTCCCTACTAGCTTTTCTTTTAATCATGCAAAATAATCACCATCCTTTTGTTTCATCTATCCTCTGTGATCTAACTGCATGGTCTAGCCATCAGACACCTTAGAGGATAAGAGCTCAGAACCTCTAGCCTTTGCACTGAAAAAAAAAAAAAAAAGTTTGTGTCTAACTAAAAATGTGCTTCCCTTTAGCTCCGCTACAGGTCCTACTTCACATTCTACAGCAAGTCGGAACAAGCTTTCCTTTCCCCCCAAAATGTGGTACCCACAGTGTGCAGTTGTCTGCTGGCCTTGGAGATGTCCCGGGATGGCCAACTCTGCCCCCCAGAGATCAAGTCTTTCAACATGTTTGGGCCCAAAGGCCACATAAAGATCACAGTCTTGTCACAAAGCCCTCAAGTGAAGGATGTGCTTTACATTTTTAAAGGGTTCTTTAAGGCAACAAGCACAGGCTAGGAGTGTAGCTCCATGGCAGAATGCTTGCCTAGAATGCTTGAGGCCCAGGGCTCCATCTCTGTCACTACACAAAAAAATAAAAGGACATTATATTTGACAGAGATGATAGATGGTCCATTAAAGAGTTCCCTCTTTGTCCTTTCTAGAAAATTCATTGGCCCCTGGTACACACCGGAAAATAAGAACACTTTTGTGGCGATATGAATAAAAATGGCCCTCATTGGCTCATATATTTGAATGCTTCATTGCCAGGGAGTGGCACTGTTTGAAGAGGATTAGAAGGATTAAGAGGTGTGGCCTTGTTGGAGGAAGTGTGTCCTTGCTGGAAGAATGTTGCTGGGGGTAGGTTTTGAGGTTTCAAAAGCCACACCAGTCCATCCTGCTCGCTCTCTCTCTCTCTCTCTCTCTCTCTCTCTCTCTCTTTCTCTCTCTCTCTCTCTCTCTCTCTCTCTCACTCTCTCCCTGCTTCTGATCAGGATGTAAAGTTCTCAGCTACTTCCATAGCACCATGCCTGACTGCCTGCCTGTCTGTTGCCATGTTCTCCACCATGATGATAATGGATTGCCCTCTGAAACTGTAAGTAAGTCCCTAATTAAATGCTTTTTTTTAAAAAAAAAAATAAAAACTGCCTTGGTAATGGCATCTCTTTACAGAAACAGAACAGTAACTAAGACAACTTTCATCACTGGGCTTCTTTGGGATACTCCTCTTTTCCTTGGGCAGGTCATCATCTACCACCTAGTCCCATCTCCTTCTCTTTAGTTCCCCATAGCCTCAGGCTTCAGAGCACACCTCTTCTCGGATGGAAACAGAGGCTTGTTTTCACTGGGTACTACTCAACAGTCCTGAGGAAAGTTCTGGGTAGCAAGTGAAGGAAACACTTCCCTTCAGAGAGGATGAAAACCTCATCTATAAATGACAGTGCACTGGGAACCATGTGAAGATTTCCTGGAGTGAGTGCTTCACTACACAGCAGGGCAGTCAGTTATACACGTGACAGGATGAAGCCAACAAATAAAATCCGAGTACCACATACCAGATAGGAGGATGCCCTTCTCGCCGACCAGAGTGCTGAAGCCCTGAGGGAAGCTCCGGATGAATTCTGCGGCATTGGCCACTTCTGCCGCCCTCTCCACCTCCTGGGCTGTGACTGAGGATGGGTTGTCAGCACCATAGGCAATGTTTTCTGCCACAGAGCAGGAGAACAGGACCGGCTCCTGGAATTGGAAATACAGCAGCACACCTGTCAGAAATTCCAGCCAACTTCAGCAAGGCACCGTGGGTACCAAGGAGTTGAGGACAGGCCTCAGCCAGGAGTGCCACACACTCCCAGAACAGGGCTCTGCCTGGAGGACCTGCTCTTCTACAACCTCACACAGACAATTTTAAAAGTCCCAGTTTAGGGGCCAGCAAAATGTCTCCGGGGGTAACAATGCTTGTTGTCGAGCCTGACAACCTGAGTTCAATAAGTTCATCCCCAGAACTCACACAGTGAAAGAAGAGAACCAAATCCTCTAAGCTGTTATCTGACCATGGCACGTGTACACACATATACACAAAACAAACAAATAATGCATTTAAAAAAAAGTACCAGTTTACTGTGAATAAGACCAACCTGATCTGTTGTCTTCACCACCCTGTGGGAAGGAGACCCCAAGATGGGTGCCCACAATTGCTGGCCTATGTCAACCTTGTCAATATCAGCCCCTCCCTTAGGGCTAGTAAGGCATGGAAGACTCAAATCCAACTGCCTACCTTCCATTACAGACAAAGGGCCCATGTCCATCCATTGCCTTCTGACAGGCAACCAGACCCCACCACAGCATGCTGACAGAGCCCCGTGAAGCACACCGGCCTCCAGTCTCTCCTCTGCCCTCATGACACACACTGCTAAGGTCTAGTCAGTACCCATAGCTACACCATCCATCCATTCTAGTACAGAAGGGGTCCCCCATCCGAGTGCAGTAATTGGAGGTGTGAGTGTGACTACAGGGGCACAATGGTAAGAGAAACTGGCTCTGACAGTTTTGCTGCTCCACGCAGCCTCGAGCAAGCAGCTTCAAGAAGAGGAACCATGCTTGGTTCCCAGGCCCGTGCACGGGAATTGGGAAGGACAGCGAGAGCTTCTGTGACTCTCCTTGCTCTAGACTCTCTACACTGCAAAGAAGCACCAGTCTCAGCTCTCAATAAAAAGTCAGCACTAGCCAGGGGGTGGTGCACACGCTTTTAATCCCAGCACTTGGGAGGCAGAGGCAGGTGGATCTCTGTGAGTTCGAGGCCAGCCTGGGCTACAGAGTGAGTTGTAGTCAGCAGTTTGTGTGTGGAATGGGTGTCGTCCATCTGTAAGCCTCTGTCCCTCTCCTGAGAAACATGAGATCATGTAATCAAACAAGAGAAAAAGCAGAGGAGCAGGGCAGTGGTGGCGCACGCCTTTAATCCCAGCACTCGGGAGGCAGAGGCAGGCTGATCTCTGAGTTCGAGGCCAGCCTGGTCTACAGAGTTCCAAGATAGCCAGGAGCCAGGACTGTTACACAGAGAAACCTTGTCTTGAGGAAAGAAAAGAAAAGAACGAGAAGAAAGGGAAAAGCAGTTTCAACAAAGGGAGATGAAAGGGAAGCCTGACTTCTTACCTGACTGACTGTCCCAATCTTGGATCTCAGCCAGACGGGGTTTAGTTGACGAATGTCGTGGCCATCAAGACTGACTGTTCCTGTTGAGGGGCAAGAGGTCACCACAGGTCAGGGCTGATAACCTAAGTGAACACCAAAGGACCCAGTGGACAATTCCAGGCATTTCCCCTCTCCCCGTCCCTCCCTTTCTTAGATAGGATCTATCCTAGCCTAATTAACTTCAAACTCACTATGTAGCCAAGGACGATCTTAAACTTCTGATCCTACTTTTCCTACCTGGGATTATAGAAGTGTGCCAAATAGCGATTTGACCCCTCTCCCCTTAATGCTGTACTGGTGATCAAATCCAGATTTTTACACATGCTAAACAAGCAGTCTACCAATTGATCCATATTCCCAAAGCACAGGCAATTTTCAAAGACTAAACATGTACTTGGGACTTGGAATATGGCTAGTGGTGAAGTATGCGCCTAGCAGATGCAAGAGCCTGGGTTTCGTCCCAACCACTGAAAAAAACTTACTTCCCCAGTGTCTACATGGAACCTAAAACCAACAAGGTTTGGACTTTCAGAGCATGAGGGGTCTTTTGGAAGGTCTGAGGCTAGGACCTCCCTAGCGGACAGCAAGCCCAACCAGCCCACCTTCCTGAGTCTGTAGGTTGCTGGAAGCTGGGGTACCTGGTAATGTTGGTGTTCCATGAATCTGATGTCTTATGCAGAGCCTTGGCTCCAAAGAGAACTGTGTGAGACAGGGGAGTACACAGCACCCACTGGCTAGCAGTGCAGATGGCAGCCTCCTGACTCGACAGTCTCCTAATCATGCCAGTATCAGGATAGACCATGAAGGCCTGGCTCAGGGTGGAGTTCTGTAAGTGTCTGCAAGTTTAAACTAGAGTCTATCTTGCCACCTCATCTAAGATTATGCAGGGCATATATACATATGTCCTATGAGTGAATGAGACAGTGTCAGACTTGTTTTCCAAATCCAAAAATTAAAGCTCATGCACACATCATCTACTCTAGGCAGGAAAAGGGATAAAGATAAAAAAAAAAACACACTTTTACTCTTAAAAGGGGGTATAATCCAATTGAAAACGTAGTTGAATATGGTGGTGCACGCCTTTGATCCCAGCACTTGAGAGACAGATGCAGGCGGATCTCTGTGAGTTCCAGGCCAGCTAGAGCTACACAATAAGACCCTGTGTCAAGAAAAGAAAAGAAAGAGGAAAGCACAAACCCAAACTGGAAAAGTCTATTAAGAAAATATCTGGGCCGGGGAGATGGCTCAGGAAGTCGAGTGCTTGCCGTAAAGGTGAAGATGTGCATTCGATAAAGTGCACGACAGATTACAAAACAAAACCCATAGTAGATCCAGGCCTTTAATCCCAGCTACTCAGAAAGCAGAGGCAGAAGGATCACAAGTGTAAAGTCAGTCTGCAAAACTTATTGAGAACCTGTTTCAAAAGAAAAGGTAGCTGGGTAGTGGTGGTGCATGCTCTAATCCCAGCACTCAGAAGCAGACACAAGCAGATCTCTCTGAGTTCGAGGCCAGCCTGGTCTACAGGAAAAATTCCTACCAGTTCAGAACTCTTTTAGCGGCGGCATCACCACCACATGGAAGTGGACCCCTGGTCACCAGATTAACTGTGTATAAGACAACTAAGGAAGTGGGTGTGGTGGTGCAGGCTTGGAATCCTAGCACTCAGGAGGCAGAGGCAGGAGGATTGCCACAAGTTTAGGTTAGCCTCATCCACATAGTGAGTTCAAGGCCAACCCTGCCTTTAAAAACCCAACCAAAATTAAAACCAAACAAACCAACAAAAAAACCAGCCTAGGAACAGTCTGGAGGCAGAAGCATCAGAAGATGCTTGGTACCTCAACACGTGGCAGAGCAGTGTTCCAGGGTGGGTATGGGACACTCCACAGCACCCTTGGCTGCTGGCACTAGGAGGCATTTACTGGGTACTGCTGGGCACAGTCTTGCTGACTGTGCTGGCTAGTCTAACATCAACTTGACACAAGCTAGAGTTATCTGAAAGGAACCTCAATTGAGAAAAGCCCTCCAGAACATGTAGCTGTAAGGCATTTTCTTATTTAGTGATTGATGGGGGAGGGACTAGCCCACTGCGGGTGGTGCCATCCCCAGGCTGGTAGTCCTGTGGTTCTGTAAAAAAGCAGGCTGAACAAGCCATGAGGAGCAAGCCAGTAAGCAGCACTCCTCCATGGTCTCTGGATCAGCTCCTGCCTCCAGGTTCCTGCCCTGCTTGAGTTCCTGTCCTGACTTTCTTTGATGATGAACAGCAATGCTGAAGTGTAAGTCAAATAAACCCTTTTCACCCCAACTTGCTTTTTGGTCATGGTGTTTTGTTGCAGCAACAGAAACTCTAACTAAGACACTGACCTGCATCCAACAGTAGGAATGTAGGGAAGTGTTTTAAGTGGAAACTAGAGCACTACACTACAAGTCTCCTCCAGGTGTGACCTCTCCTGGGCATGGGGTGGGAGCAGGCTACAGAAGAGTACACAAACAGCTCAGGGATGCCTCGGCCCACAGTATCATTAGTCACCTACCAGAAACAGGGTCATACAGCCGCAGCAGGAGTGAGACCACTGTTGATTTTCCAGAACCACTAGGGCCAACCAGTGCTGTGACAGATCCAGATGGGATGGAAAGGCTGAAATCCTGGAAAACGGCCATTTCTGGGCGAGCAGGGTACGTGAAGTGCACATTTCTGAACTCCAGGGCACCCTGGAAGCCTTTCTCGTCTAACACAGTCCCCTCTGAAACACACGAGAATACAGAAAGCTAAAGCAGAAATGGAGCTGATGGCAGACCGTGGCTCCCGTGCCTGTCTGAAGTGAACAGAAATAGATGTCCTTTCCCAACGCAGTTCACCCTGGAGGAGCAGGCCTGTGTGCTGGGCTTATCATGCACAGGACAACGTGCATACAGTCTTGTGTGCCACCTTTTCTTAGGAGGATTTTAGGGCTGTACACAATAGCCTGCTCAAGTTAAGTGCCATGTGAAGACCCGCCCTTGGGGCAGTCTGGTTTGCACTCGGGGGCTTTTCTCAGTGCCACTGCACTCAAGTAGCTCCTCTGTAGAGCTCTTCATCTACCCTGAACAAGCATTTGGAAAGCACAATGACAGGGTTTGCATGATAGCCATGAGGTTAAGGAGGGTCAAAGGTTTACTTAGCCCCAGTGTGACCCTGGCCTGATATGGAGGCCACATCTCACTTATCACTGGATTGGCCTGATAAGGAGTGAGTACACATCTCACTTATCACGACTTCATGCCCTAGCTCTTATCATACTGGACGATACCAACATCCAACTCGCTGCACGGCAAACACCTAGCAACTGCAGGTGTCCCGGATGGCTGAGTGTTGCTACTTATGGCCACTCTCCTCCCACATCTCCTCCAGGTGGTCTAGGCCCACGGCTCAAAGGAAGTTGATGACAAGGAAGGAGAAGGTGGTCCTTGACACTTAGTACCAGCATTCCCAAATGCCAAGAAATGTAAGGCCTTTCATTCATCTTCCTCCTCCCTCTTCCTGTAACCTCTTGCAAATGTCAGAATCACTAAGGAAGATTCTAGAAAGCCACCTGGGTGTTCCTATTCACACCATGCCTGCTTGCTGCTGTCTTGATCTTGGTGGTAATGACTGGCTGCAGGAGCATGAGAAGCATGTCATGGCATCAGCCCATTTCCAGAACATGCCCTGAAGTGTACCCAGCAGTGTCCCATGGGGATCCTGACCTTCTCCTTGCTCTGAGGCAGAGGTCACCTCCTGGCAGTGGCCCATTCTCTGAGGACGGCAGAATACTGGTCTAACTGTCCAAAGCATGCTTTTTAAAACCCCAGCAAAGACCATTCCCCCTCACCCAGACCCACCATTAAAAGGCAGTTGTGGCTGTCTCTCCAGCAGCTCCCAGAGTCGCCCACCAGCACCTAGGCCTTTCATCAGCTCGGAGTAGAAGGAACTTAGACCTGAGGACAAGAAGAGTCTATCATTAGCTGACAAGAAAGGCCACAGGCTCCTCCTGTCCTGGGGAGTCCTGGCAGTTGCAGCTCTCCACATGAAATCTGCTACCTTCACTACAGGAGCTGAGGCCGCTAGCTGCTCCACCCACCCACCTCTTACCCTTGCCCTCCTACATTTCCTCTTTCTCAGGTTTCACAGATTGCTAGTAAAAAAGGGGAACTTTATGTGACCACACTGATCACCAGTGAGAAGTCATAGTACTGCAAGAAACGCAACCTTCAGACAGCACAGCAAGAACCTCAGGGGAATCCACTCCCCCGTGAACTGAAATTCCTAGAACAAAGACTCTACAAGGGCTATTAGGCCAGGAGAGACAGAAGAATCTGAACTGTGCATTAATAAGTGAAAGGCACCAGCCAGGAAAGGCTGAATGCTTTACTGATTCCAACCCCATGATGCTTGAAAACTTCAAAGCTGTACAGAGAGTAAAAAATGATCTCTGGATGCCAGGGGCAGAAAATAAACAGGGAGAAGTGGAAATACACAGGGCAGCAATGGCAACTCCTTTGTGATTTTCCAATGGTAAATCCAGGACAATACACAATATGTGCATGTGTGTGTGTTTAAATATATATATGTGTGTGTGTGTTTGTATATATATGTGTGTGTGTGTGTGTGTGTATATGTGTGTGTGTTTGTATATATGTGTGTGTATGTATATGTATACATATAAATGTATATATATATATCACCAAGAACTAAGACCAATGTTACCTTTGATAACAACAATGTGTCAATGTAGACTCAGCAACTGTGTATCAAATGGACCACTCTGATGAAGAGAATGACTATCCTGAAACTGGGGGTGGGGGTGGGGGGGGAATCTCTGTAACTGCAACAGTGTTGCTTTTTAAAAAGAATTCTAAGGCCTCTGTGAGTTCCCGGCCAGTCTGGTCTACATAGCAAATTCCAGGATAGCAAAGACTACATAGAGACTTTGTCTCAAAAAAATAAAATAAAAAAATCCAAAGCTCAGTAAGGTGGCCAACATTTATAATCCAAGTACTCAGGAGACTGAGGCAGGAAGACAGATTTCAAAGCCAGCTTGTGCTATACAGTAAGACTCTCAATTTAAAAAAAACCTAAATATTTATTTAAGTATTTATGTATGCCAATATACAAATGTCAGCTTTTCTCAGAGAACCCTTTCCTTGTAGGGAACAGCCGTGAATACAGAGATTCAGCCAGGATGCTAAAAATCAGCAAGAGATTCAGTTGAGAGCCTGGGCCTACACAGGGCATTTACATCACCCCCTCTAAGGCTTAGGAACATCTGCCAAGGAATGGGCCAAAAGCACGGGACAGCAAGGAGAGAGGAAGAAGGGCTCTGAAATGCCACCTTCCAGGCACGACATGTCACAGCAATCGTGAACTCACAGCAGCTGTGGCTGATCAGACGCTAGGCCTGAATGAGTCTGGCCCTGCAATGGACAAGAAAGGGTCCTACAGGGTCCCACCACCCACTGCTGAACTTCTGGCTACCCACCCACAGACTCCGGGAAAGAGGGCGTCACTGTCTCCAGCTGTTACCCACCGGGGAACCGACCAAGCCCAAACCCAGTTCTCAATTCAGAGTCCCTCTGTCGGTCCAGGTTAAACCCGGTGGGACACAAAACAGAACACAAATTCTTGAGTGTGGGGAAGAGAGTTGGAGAGACGATGGGAGGAGGAGAAATCGGGAGCTGGGGAGGCACAGTGGGCCAGGTACATGGCATGTCTGAAACTGTCAGAGAGCAAAATAAAATGACATTACTAATGTATTACTAATGTATTACTAATTCTGAGGAAGGGAGAGGAAGGAGAGACTAACTATGGAGAGTTTAAGACTCGGGGCAGCAAAATGTGTGAGGTGCAGTTCTCACTAAGCAGGCCCAGGGTCTCCATCCGCTCCCGCCAGCCACTCTCCTCTCCCCTGGGTTCTGGGAGACACATTCCATAACGTGGAAAGGCTGGAAAACACAGCTTCCCCATGGTCCTGAGCTCTGGAAGGACACCAAGAGCCCCGACCCAAGCGGGAACCCGCTCACCCACCCCCAGAACTTCATTTTTGCTAAGGGAATGGCACACTGAGAACGGCCGTCCAGCGGGGCCTGGTTTTCAGTGTGTACGCTCAAAGCCTGTTCATGTGATATACCTCCGATGCTCAATCCAACCCAGAAAGCGTACATGAGGAAGGAAGAGAGTTCGCCCACTGTCATATGGGCGCTGCCCATCAGCAGGCCACCCTTGTACAGGACAGACAGCACAATCAGGTTTCCTGAGAGCCCAGCCTACAGGGGGGAGAAAACAAAGGTCAGTACGACCCAAGGCCTCTTGGGACACAAAAGTATAAACCAAGCCCTTTAATATATAACGTTTCTCACAAAAAAAGGTTTGAAATACAACAGTGAAGAAAATACTTGCGTCCCCACCTCAAAAGCTTAGACGCTATTACCCCTCAGGCTGTTTCCCCAACCTACTCAGCTTGTAAAAGGTGAGAATAACAACCAGGCCTCCCTACCTGAAGATGAATCAGTGTGCTGTGTTCACAGCTCGGAGGAGATGGCCTCCACATGGACCTCCACATGGACCTGTCGCCCTGCCTCTGAGCTCTGCTCTCCACTCTGGGAGCTTTGGGTCCCTACAGAGGCCTTCTTGGAGCTTCTGCCTCTCAGTCCATTAAACAGCCTCGGAGAGGTTCTTTCCAGTTTAGATGGACATGTTTCAATTATCTTTTTTTCTGGTCTTTGTTTGTGTTTGACAGTCTCGCTATGCAGCCCTGGCTGACCCAGAACTCACTGTGTAGACCAGGCTGGCCTCAAACTTACAACAATCTGCCTGTCTCAGCCTCCTGAGTATGCCCAGCACATATGCTGGTTTTCTATTCAGGGCGTCTTGGTACTTTGTGATCAGTTTCTTATACTTTCTTCTAGAATGTACTGGAAATATATAATCCTCAACAGGAGTAGCCAAATGAGATTACACCTGAAGGATCCAGAAGCCTGTGAAAACATGTTGTGGTACAGTCCTAAGGTCCACACGGCACAGTTACTCAGTGCCAGTGGTTCTCAAAGCTGCCTAGCCACACACTGGGGATGAGCAACAGATCATATACACACTACTTTTCTTTCTTTCTTTCTTTCTTCCTTTCTTTCTTTCTTTCTTTCTTTCTTTCTTTCTTTCTTTCTTTCTTTCTTTCTTTCTTTCTTTTCTCTCTCTCTATCTCTCTCCCTCCCTCCCTTCCTTCCTCCCTTTTTTCTTTTAAAAGTGTAGTCCAGGCTGGCCTCAAACTCATGATCCTCCTGCTTCCGCCTACTTCAGCAAATCCTACTGGTGTGCGCCACCACAACCGGCCACTACTTTTCTCTGATCCCACTTTTTTGTTCTCCTCTTCTTCCCTTAAAATAGCTTAAAGTCCAAGTTGTTCTTAGGGTTGAAATAAAATCACTTCTACTATAAATCAAACAGTGAAGGGGAAGATGAATAGGAATCTCACTTACACAATTTAACTAAAACATAGCTCTCTGAACAGATGAAGACAAGTTCCTTCCATATCCCAGAATCTAATCAATATTTATATGTATAATTCAGCTAATATTTGGCTTAAAAGGGCTTATTGGGAAATGTTATCATTTTTACTATTTTCTACAGAGAAAGTATTTTCCAGTTTCAAGTAACTCTGGACTTTGGAATTATAACCTGTTTTTATGTTAAAAAAAAACAAAACAAAACATTTAAGTGGAAAATGCTGAAGGACCACTGAACTCAATGTTGTATTTACATATCTTTATCTGTATAAAATAATGACTATAAACGTTTCTTTAAAAAGGAAAAAAGAAAGAAATCACTTCTACTGTCAAGAGCCACAGAATGAAACTCTCTTGCACTCTCACTGCCCACAACGATCTACTTACTGCTCCGAAGAAGCCCGCCCGGGCCAGGGCCTCCTTCCGTGCTAGCAGCAGCAACTGGTCCACGTGGCTGGTGTACTTCTCCACTTCCATCGTCTCCTTCCCGAAAGCTCGGATGGTTCTTATGTTTCCAATGTGCTCCTCAGCGAGCTAAGAGGATTCAAACACATAGCACAGGGCTGGAGAGAGGGCTTCACAGTCAAGAATACTTGGTGCTCTTGCAGAGGACCTAGGTTTGATTCCCAGCACCCACATGGTAGTTCACAACCATCTGTAACTCCAGTTCTAGAAGACCTGATGCCTTCTTACTTCCACAGACACCAAGCACACATGTGGTGCACAGACATACATGCAGGCAAAATGCTCACACACACACACACACACACACACACACACACACACACACACACACACACACTCACGGCGAAGGGAAGAGTGTCACATGGCAATCGACAGCAAAATTAAAAAGGAAGTTGGGTGTGGAGCACAGCCAAGCAAGGTCACATAGCGAAGTGCAAGAATCCCTCTTGCTGACAGAAAATATAAACTGCAGGGCGGGAGAGATGCCGCAGGTGATTACGAGTCCTTACTGTTCCTGCTGAGGAACTGAGCCTGGGCACATTAACCCCAGTGAGTAGCTTACAAGGCCTGCAACCCCAGCTTCAGAGAGTCAAATGCTCTCTTCTGGCGCCAGAGTGTATGTGCGTGTATGCATGTGCACACACACACACACACACACACACACACACACCACAGACACAGATACACACACAGTGCCCACACACTTTAGAAAGACAGACAGACAGGTAATAGGGCAGCAGAAGGAAAGACAAGTGGAAAGACTAAACTACAAAACATTAATGACACTAACTCCGAATTATCAAAGAGTTTTGGATTATCTGGAATTGTGGATAACAGTATTATCTATATTTATGTTGTTTAATATTTTCATATTTCCAATGATAAAAAAGCACGCTTTTTGAAACATGAAAATACAAGTATTTTGGGGCTTTAAAAGATAGTGCTGGGCTGGAGAGATAGCTCGGTTGTTGAAAGCATGTAATGTTATTCTAGAAGACCTAAGTTTGATTTAGCACCCACATCAGGTACCATACAATGGTCTGTAACTCCAGCTCCAGGGGATCTAATGCCCTCTTCTGGCCTCTGAGAGTAACTGCATTTATGTATACATATATACATACTTACATACATACATACATACATACATACATACATACATACATACATATAAAACTAAAAATAAAATTAATCTTTTTTTGAAAAAAAAAAACAGTACTACACAGTCTACTTTACTAATTAATGAAGGACATAGTGCCAGTTAGGTATTTTTCCCAAAGTATATTAGTTTCTATTTTTATTTTTGTTTTTTAAGAAAAGGTCTAGAGAGAGGGAGCCTAGGTTAGTCTCAAACTCATGATCCTCCTGCCTCAGGCTCCATAACGCTGGGCTTACAGCTATGTCCCACCACAGCTGGTCATTTTAGCCTTTTTTTGTCCTATCAGGAGCAGTGATAGAAAACTGTGAGAAGTTGATATAAGCAAGGTATGGAGGCTCACAACTGTAATCCTAGCACTTGGAAAACTGAGGCAGGAGAATTGCCATGAATCTGAGGCCAGCCTTGGCTACACAACGAGTTCCAGGCCAGCCTGGGCTACACAGCAAATTGGACATACTCTGGGGTAGGTAGTAAGCCAGGAGGAGAGCCAGGAGGAGAGCATTCCACATCTGTATTTCACTGAGGTCTACTGGGAGAAAAGGAAGGCACTTTCTTTCCCTGGTGCTGGTGCTGAAAAGGAACACACCTTTGCACACCATCCATTCTGCCTGTGGCTCTGAGCCCCACACCCAGATAATGCACACATGGGAGGTCAGTACCTGTGTGGCTTGTGCCAAAGAGTCCTGTGTGGCTTTGGACAGTTTCCGTAGATATCGTCCATAAATCACGGCGAGGATGGAGATCGGAGGTACCACACTCAGAACAAAGGTGGCCAGACTGGGTGACACAAAAAACTGTCAAGAACGAAAGTCAAGAGCATGTACTCCTTGAAGTGGCAAGGCATCCTCAGACCTACAGTGTGTAGGTGGGAAGACACTGTCTCCAAGCCATGCCTCCTGATTGGGTTGGATTTTCCTGGCATCTTTAATTCTTACAAAACCCAACGTCAAAGCTGGCACAGGCCTTTAAATCCCAGCACTCATGAGGAGGCAGAGGCACGTGATCTCTATGATTGGAGGCTACCTTGTCTACATAGTGAGTTTCAGGCCAACCAGGTCTACACAGTGAGACCCTGCCTCAAAATCAAAACAAGCGCAAAAACTCAAGTTGTGCATACTACCAAGGAGAACGGTGGCTGCCACAGCTGTAGGAAAGATGGAAACAGCATATCCTCTGGACAATCCTAACATGCTCTAATATGCCAGCCCACATCTTCAACAGCAGACAGAGGGGCAGGATGGAATGGGGGTTCAGCAGAGAGGCCTATTCTGCCCTGCTCTGGGCAAACCACACCATGAGTTCTAAACTCGGCCGTAATCACCCTAAGGCCATGACTGCCCAGAATTGTTCCCACCTAGATAAACCAGTTAGAGAAGTCACCAAAACTCTTATCACATTGCAGAACTGGGAAAGTTACTTAGGCCAGCAGGGCTGGTTGGAACACAAACCCTACCCGGAGAGTGAGTCTGAACCACCAGAGATGAGCAAGACAGCTGTGGAACATGGGCCACCCTGCAGGGGCACAGAAAATGAGGTCTACACCCCTTAAACCTGATACTTGGTTCCCAAAGGGGCTCTTTGGCCTGACTTTCTTGGCTGTCTTCACACCCTGGTCTTACACATCTCCAGAAAAAAAAAAAAACATTCTCAGATTAACACTCACTCAAGAGAGATACAGGCCAGGCCAGGGGAGATAATCCCTATGTCCCCAATCTGGGGCAATGTTCTTGCTTCTACACGCTTATAAAATGACAGGAACATCTCAAGCCCCTCATACTCAAAAGCCCTGGCCCCGAGAGCCCTGACAGAAAGCACCAAGAGGAACAGGCTGACGTACCATCATGCCAACACCAACCGAAGCCTGGGCCCCAGCCCTCAGTCCATCAGAGAGGTTTTCCGTCACTGAGCGCCCCAGGAGTGCAGTATCTGAGGAGAGGCGGTTAATCAATTCTCCTGTGCGGGTCTTATCAAAGAAAGCAACCTCTTGCCTTAGGATAGAGGAGAACAGTGAGGTGCGCAGCCTGTTCACGATGCTCTGACCTGCAAAGCAAACAGAGCAGCGAACAGTGAATGCAGCCACCTGCCACTCACGGGGCAGCCATATAAAAACAACCCGTGTCTACAGCCCGTTGTCAAAGCCAGTTTGTAGAGTAAGCACATCAGCTCAGTGGGTCCTGGCATGGCATGGACTCACACAGGCCAGCATGTTCACTTCCTGTTAGTGACTACAGACTGAGGATACAAGGAGAGTCGAGATCGTGATAAAGGTAACATGGGTTGGCAAGATGACTCGGCAGATAAAGGTGCTTGCCATGCACTCGCAACGACCTGAGTCATCAGCTGGAACCCTCAAACACACACAGAGGTAGGAGAGAACTGACTTCAGAACGTTTTCGTCTGACCTCACCGTATGTGCATGCATGCCCGCACATGTATATAAATATACCATAACAGCAATAAAAATACATTTTAATTTAAAAAAAAGGTAAAACGTTCCTTGATGTGTGAGGAGCATCACATACCCAGGCCTAGAGCCCATCTTACTAGAACGCAGTCATGGAATGCAGTCCCGGGCTGCCAGCACTGGGGCGGTTCCCTGCCTGCTAACGAGACATTTCTAAAGACATGGCACTCAGGTCCCCATCCCAGTAGCTACACAGCATGAGCAGACAGGTCTTGCTTTTACTACCTGTTCAACCCTGACCACACAAAAGTAGAGAATTAATATACTGGATGATCATAATGTCATCTCGATGGGATGTGGGATCTATCCCCAAGGAATGCAACATCAGGCAGAGACTGGGGCCTGGAGCAGTGGCACTCGAAGCCCTGATATTACCCCAGGTCCTTCGTCATCTTTGAGATGACCCCCACCAAATGACACTGACCTGAAGACTGCATGAGGTAGACACGAACGGCGTTCGCAGCAGCACCACACAGGAACACACAAGTGAGGCCAGCACAGAGGTGAGTCAGGCTGTCGACATAGTCCCCGCTTGGGTTGGTGTAAATAACATCAATGATCTTCCCCAGGAAGAAAGGAGCAGACATGGTGATGACACTGGACACAGCGAGAAACCCAACAGCAGCTGGAAGACAGGAGCAACACTCCGAACTCACGCCGCAGCACAGGGCAGGTGCCCAGCACAGGGCAGGTGCCCAGCACAGGGCAGGTGCCCAGCACAAAGGGCCTCAGACCTACAGCAGCCTCAGTGGCTGGGCTTTCTCCTCCTTCATCAATGGGCCTGACTCAAGGAAGGACCAGATGGCTTCAGGTTAAGAACAAGAAGCATGGCTGTGAGGGGATGTGTGTGTGTGCCCAGCTAGACAAGAGGATGTTATGGTTTGTGCATTCCTTCCTTGCTAGGAGAACCTGAGGCTAACCATGGACATCTGACTGGCCCCCTCCTGTCTGCTGGTCTCGGTACTCATTTCAGATCCTGTTTCTCGTGCATTTCTGCTACATGCTGTTACTCCTTGGTATCTAACTACACCTTAGCTGGATGGTCAAACTATCCAGGGAAACTTTATCTTTTGTTATGTATGAGGGAGGGGATGCTTTTTTGAGATAAGGTCTAACTCTGTAGTCCAGGCTAACTTCAAACTCACAATGTAGCCCAGGTTAGCTTTGAACTTTTTGTGACATATCTTAGCTTCTTGAGTGATGAGATTATAGGTATACACCATTGTGCCTGGCTTAATGTTCTTGACTGTGCTTCGTATTTCAAAGCTCTCTACATAAGCTTTGGAGAACAGTTCCTGGGATCCACTCTGAATGTAGTTTGTCCCTTCTTAGTATTATTTCTCTGGGGAATACATGAAATGATAGTAATCAGGAAATTAATTGTCCATGTAACTAAACAACAGATACGAGGGACAGAGGCTTATTAAGAAGTTCTAGCCAGGTGTGGTGATGAATGCCTGAAATCCCAGCACTTGGGAGGCAGAGGCAGATCTCTGAGTTCAAGGCCAGCCTATTCTACACAGTAAGTTTCAGGCCAGCCAGGACTACATAGTTGGCACAAACAAACAAACAAACAAAAATCTAAGAAAATCCAGTTGGAAAGAACACACATCACAGACAACCACATTCATATAAAAAGGAATATAAAAGTATAGGACAGCCAAGTTTTTACTCATGAGCCTGGCAAAGATTACATGCTCACAATGTTGGTGAAGATGTGGGAAGGAGACTCTCATTGGTGGGAACAGACACTGACTGATGGAGGAGCAAGTTTACACCAGCTACAAGTGAGATCCTAGGTGAATAATCCCTTTGAATTGTAATGGACTTCTGAGAATTTTACTTACAAACTTCCACATCAAGTGTGGAGAAATAAATCCAAGGATGTGCAATTATAGCATTAACTATATCAGCAAAAGAATCAGTATCTTAAACACCCACCTAAACAGGGTAAGTTGAACCTACTATGAAGAATTTATAAATATTAATTCATTAGTATAAGGAATGAGGTAACTCTTTGGGTACCTACAGTTCAGCAAGATGTGCCGTGGGAACTGGGCCTGGTGACACAGAGCTGATATCCAGGAGGATCACAGGTTCAAGTCTAACCTCAGCTATAGAGTACGTTCAAGAGCAGTCTAGGTAACTTAGTGAGACACTATCTCAAAATAAAGAGAACTTTGGATGTAGCTAAGTGCTAGAGCACTTGCCTAGCATGTGTGAAACCCTAGGTTCAATTCCCAGTACTGTTAACACAGAGAAAGACAGACAGACACACAGACAAAGACAAGTAATTGGTTAAAAAACAAGTCCTAGATAATAATACTAGCATCTTTTGGGTGTTTTCCTATTTTCTCTTTCCTCAGAGTTTATATGAGTACAGAACTTTTTGTTTGTTTGAGACAGGGTTTCTCTGTGTAGTTTTGTAGCCAGTCCTGAATCTCTCTCTGCAGACCAGGCTGGCCTCGAACTCACAGAGATCCACCTGCCTCTGCCTCCCAAGTGCTGGGATTGAAAGCATGCACCACCACCACCTGGCCGTACAGAACATTTTTGGAAGAATATTAAGAAACAGCAGCCCATGGGCTGGAGAGATGGCTCAAAGGTTAAGAGCACTGACTGTTCTTCCAGAGGTCCTGAGTTCAATTCCCAGCAACCACATGGTGGCTCACAACCATCTGTAATGAGATCTGGTACCCTCTTCTGGCTTGCAGGAATACATGCAAACAAAACACTGTAAACATAATAAATAAATAAATCTTTAAAAATAGAAAAGAAAAAAAGAAAGAGCAGCCCAGGCTCCTTTTAAGAGCAGTGCTGTGCCTGGGTGTAGGGTAGATCTGTTCCTCCAGGCTTCCCTGGTTTGGGACAACACACCTCTTCGGAGCCTTGCTGGTTTATGGCAGGACTACTGATGAAGAGTTCCCTAGCCCCATCTGCAGAGGATGGGTACTTCTTTCTCCTTGGTCTAATGTTCACACTTCAGATAAAGAGATCATTCTAACACAAGCTTGAGAGAACATGGGCCAGTGTGGTGGTCTGAAGAGGAAAGGCCCCATAGACTCATGTATTTGAATGCTTGGTCACAGAGAGTGGCACTGTTAGGAGGTGTGGCCTCACTGGAGTAGATGTGGCTTTGTTGGTGGTGGTGTATCACTAGGTGGGAAGGTTCTGAGGTCTCAGAAGTTCAAGCCATGCTTGCTGCCTGCTGATCCAGATGTAGAATTCTCAGCTTCTTCTCCAGCACCATGTCTGCCAGCATGATGTCATACTTCCTTCCATGATAATAAATAAACTGAACCTCTGAAATTATAAGCCAGCCCCAATTAAATGTTTTCCTTTATAAGAGTTGCCATGGCCATGGTGACTCTTCACAGTAATAGAAACACTAATTAAGACAGACGTTAGTACCAGGGACTGGGGTATTGCTGTGATAAGCCTGACCATGCTTTTGTTTGGAGGAATGTGGACTTTGGTACTTTGGATTAGAAAAGCAGTTGATTGCTTTATTTATTGATTTTTTTAATTGGTTGATTGATATTTTTGTTTGTTTGATTGTTTTTGTTTTTTGAGACAGGGTTTTTCTGTGAAATAGCTCTGGCTGTCCTGGAACTCACTTTGTAGACCAAGTTGGCCTCAAACTCACAGAGATCCACCTGCCTCTGCCTCCTGAGTGCTGGGATTAAAGGCGTGCGCCACCATGCCTAGCTCAGTTAATTGCTTCAAGTGGAACTTAATGGCCCACCCTAGTAGGAACATGAAAGACAAGTGGTGTGATTTGAACTCTGGAGGTCTGGC